TGCTCACCTTCAGGAAACCAGAACCGTTTCCTGTTCTGGAATCAGCCCCCAGGCTCGGAGAAGAGTGCCCCTAACGTCAGGCTTACCTTCCTGGGTTTCATTCTTCTCCCAGACCCTGCTCTCCTAATTCTTTACTACCTTGTTAACTCTCTGATTCTTTTAAATGGATATAAAAAAAAACACCATGTTTTGTACAGGTTTTCTTGTTATTCACCTTGGGGGTTGGGTCTGAATTACCTATTGTGTCATTAGCAGAAGTGCACCCCTCCCCCACTCAGCCAAGAATTTTACTATCTTAAATCCAGCAGGGATGTTGAGAAGTCTCTAGAACAGAACATTAACATGATTTAAGTGGTATTTTAGGAAATTTAATATGTCACTGGTATGCAAAGCAGACAGGAGTTGGGAAAAGCTCAGTAAGTAGAACAGTTAAAAGACCATCATAACTGGGTGCTTCTAGAGTAACAAAAAAAGCAGGTGTTGCCTTTCTGAATCTGGGCATTTCAGAGAGACCTGAATGAGAGTCTTGGCTCTCCTGCATACGAGGAGGTTGCGTTGAACAGTTCCTTTACCTATGCCCTCATCTGTAATATGGAATTTTAAAGTTCCTCCCTTCCAGGGTTATAAGAATTACACGAGAAACTCACAGAAACTCTGATTTGGCGTATAGTATGTGCTCAGCAAATAGTAGCCATTTCTGTTACCATTCCAAGATCCAGCCTTTGGTGATTTAGGTTAAAATGCAAGATCACTGTTAATGGCCCTAAGCAGGACCATAACATTATCATCTTCCTGCAGGCTGTTCACTTCCTATGAGTTCAGTTCCTGTGTTCCAGAGAGCAGCTTGAATGCGTTTATGCAGCGTCACGGTGCCCTAAATACCCACCATGTACTGAACTGATTTATAGGCTGATGCCGTGGTTTTAAAGATGACCCCAACCTCACATCCCAAAGGTGTAATGATAAGTGACTTTAGAAAGTGCCTCTTGTCGGGCTTGATGGTAGATGCTTTGTATTTTAGGTTTATGGAACCATAAGACTTTAGCATTTTGCTTTTAAGAACGGCCGAGTGTACAGTGTACAAGAATAGATAGCAGCTTACCAAAACAGATAAATCAGATTATGAGCCTTCATGTTACAAAAGGATTCCTGGAGTCATGGATAACTTGACATACTATCTTTTTGAAACCTCTTCATTTTCCTGGATGATCGATGGCAAACTCAGGACTAGAACACAAGTGTGTTGATTTCCAGAGTACTTTGGCTTTCTTGGCAAAAATAGCCCCTCTGTGTCTGTTCTAACCAGTTCCACGCCTTCCCGAACTCTCTGAGAGTTTCATCAGGGCCATAGGAACTGGTGCCTATGGGGAACTTGCCTTCCAGAAGGAAGATCAATCTGTCACTGTGAATTCATTGACAGAAGCTGGAAAATAACATGCCGAGCAAGCATCTTTTCTCAGTATTTGGTCTTGGACCTTCTGTGACTGTCATTCCAGCCTTTTAATCTCTAGAAGTATGACATATTTTTAGTTCACACTAAGCGGTGAGTTTCTGGGGCTAGGCTTAGTACAGACTTCCACCTGTGCTTTCTTTCACAGAAGTCAGGATGCACCACTCACCTTCTGATAGTCGTGGGAAATCTGTGTCTATAGCACCTGTCTTCTTCTGTGTCATGTGGCAAGACCCCTGGTAATTCATTACTTGTTCAGTGTGGGAAGTGGGGCCAGGCTATAAAATCCAGTATAAATAGAGGGCGTATCTTCACATAAAAGGATTACGTTTTGTTGTTTAACATCAGGGATGTCCTAGCTATTTAAAACCTAACAAAACATAAGAAACTGAAATAAGTGAAGCCCTTTTAAGTTTTTTTTTAACGTTTATCTTTTTTTAAAGAGAGAGACCGCATGAGAGGCATAGAGAGAGAGGGAGACACAGAATCCAAAGCAGGCTTTGCTCTGAACTGTCAGCATAGAACCTGACACGGGGCTCGAACTTGCAAACCGTGAGATCATGACTGAGCTGAAGTCAGATGCTTAATCGACTGAGCCACCCAGGCGCCCCAAGTGAAGCCCTTTATAACAGAGTTTGTCCTAGTCTGATAAGGCAATACTTACATGTATTTGCTTTTCCTAAAAATCTGCTTGTGACTAATGACAGCCCTGATTAAAGATTTAGAAAATGTTTTACATGTGTAATTTCCATAGCATTTTGGCTCTGTAGGTAATAGACTGAGGTTTGTTAGAAAGGCACAGTGTGTGAATGAATAAGGTATGGACCAACAGACAGATGATGCACAACCTGACCCACGGAGACTAATGGGGGAGGTCTGCCTGCCCGAATGGCCAGACTTCGCAGGAAGTCACAGAAGAGCAGGTGGCTCATAATTAAAAATGAAAGGCAATCTAGAGCCTTGCCTTAGAGTCTGGTTCCAGGACGCAAGAGTTTATTAGAAAAATGGAATCATGGGGCATCTGGGTGGCTTAGTCAATTAGGTGTCCGATTCTTGATGATGGCTCAGGTCATGATCTCACGGTTTGTGAATTCAAGTCCTATATTGGGCTCTGTGCTGACAGGATGGAGCCTGGCTGGGATTCGCTGGCTCCCTCTCTCTCTGCCCCTCCTCTGCTCATTCTCTCTCTCTCAAAATAAACTTAAAAAAAGCAACACAGAAGCACAGGGCTCACCTAGACCTACCAAATGAAGATTTGTGTGCATGTTAAGGTTGGTGAGTGCTGGTCTGGATTCTGTAATCTGCTCCTACCTTTCCTGTTAACAGAATGGGTCATATCATTTCATCTGCATCAGTCTCCAGTTTCGCCTTCAGTCTTGGGATGATGGCCCCCATCCCTGGCATGGTTTTCTAGGCCCTGCAGGGCCAGCCCGTCTCCGGCACCCTCTCTCCTGACTGTTTCCTAGTATCATTCTGTACACAGGACCTGTCACGTGGTGTGGAAATGCCTTCCTACCTGTCTCTTGTTCAGCTGGGAGTTCGTAGGTGCTAGAGGATGTCTTACCTTTTCTGGTTCTCCATAAACATCTCTGACTGGGTGGATGATTGAAAATGAGTGGAAATGAATGAAATTGAGAACCATGAAGAACAGCTGTTTTGGGAGCTCCTTTGGGCCTGCCCCTGAGGTTCCTGTTACTTATCTCAAAGAGTGGCCCAGAGCCTCCACGGGTGCGGACCGGGGGCCACTCTGCAATGGCAGCCCAGGCTGGTGGACCTTCAGAGCTGGCCTGCATCTTGTTTGAACGTCTCCTGGGTGGGAGCAGCATTCGGGCTTTGTAGGAATAGAAAAAGACCTATGCGAGGTGGAATTCCTACTCTCAGAGAGCCTCCGGTTTGGTTAGGGAGAGAGGGGTACGCAGCAGGAAAGCTTAGAGCTAAGGTAAGAGTTGGATAAGAACAAAGACAATGTAGAATAGCTGTCCTAAAGCAGCGTTTGATTCTCAAATGAGCAGCGTAAGATCGGTGAGTATTGGGGGAGTCCAGGAGGGGAGGGATTTCTTCAGGTTGGAGGGGTCTGCGGAGGCCCGTGGAGGAGGGGGGCAGAAGGGGGCGGAGGATGGGTAAGGATGGACCAGGCCAGGGAAGGAGGAGCGGAGAGCGCGGTGTGTTGAGAGAGCAGAGCCCGAGGCATCTGCAACCATTGAGTGCATCTGAACCGGGAGAGATGTGCAAGGGAAACGCAGGTTCTAGAATGTAACCAGGCCCTAGAGGCCAAGGACGTGGCCCCACGTGGTTCACGCAGTGATGCTGGCACTCTGGCATGAGCTGGGGGAGGCACAGAGGAGAGAAGTCCTCAGCAGGCTGCAAGCGAGTGTAACTGAAACTGTGCTCATCTCCATGCAAACTCGTCTCAGTGGAATTTTCAGAGCTCATTTGTGGAGGAGGAAATGAATAAAAGAAGGAAGGTACAGCAAAGGGTTGAAGAGAGGATGATGTCACACTGCCCGTGAAGTTTTGTAGAGTGGGGGCTTGAGTCGGCTTCCTCTTTTTGCTTTTGAATCCCACCTTAAATTTAGATTTATGTGCAAATAGGATGAAGATGAGTGACAGGCAGTACTTTGTTAGCGATGCCCCTCTGTGGATGAGGGAAGAAAGACTTTCCAGAAAGGTGTCTGGGAGGAGGGGAGAGAAGCATTCTATGGGCTGGAGAAGAACCTCGTTGAGACCATGCAGCTGTTTTCAGAGGGAAGGAAAGCAAAAGGAAAGGAAGGGTGATCGATCTCAGGGCAGGGGTGGGGCGGGGGGGGGAGGGACCAGTAAAGGAAGGCCCTTGAGGGAGCAAGAGAATGCATTAACGGGAGCGCAGAACAGAAGCCAGAGCAAGATGGTGCTGTGCTCTGGAAGTAGGTAGGACATGTCTGAAGGGAAGAGCTCGTTGGTGAAAGACCTCAGAGTCAAGTGAACTGATTCTTAAAATCGGTAGTTCAAAGCATTTTGGTAACCCAGATACCCAGAAGCGATGAATTGGTTCTAAGAGCTCGTACCCACAGCTGTTTTGCTCTGTCCACCGTGGGCCCTTAGAAGGATAATGCCCGACGGCATTGGTAAAATACTGGTCCGCCCAATACCAGCCTGTCAATACATGGACTGTGTCTGCTATAAACACAGCCAGGTTGGGGCAGGGGGCTTAAGACCTCGCATCAGGCCAGGCCAAACAGGGGCGTCTGGGCCTTTGAGCCCACAGAATTTCTACCAGCCCAGACCTCCTACATCCATGGAACCCTCTCAGCTGAGAGCAGGCTTGGCTCAAACCACTGACCCACTGAGACATCTCCTCAGGACTAAGCGTGCCCAGGAAGGGCAGGTGGGCTCGAATGCAGAACCCGTCAGTACCTGCTCTAGCCCTCCAGGCCCCGTGTACACATCAGCGCTGTGGTTTGGGGGAAGAGAAGGGGACGGTGGAGGAGGGTCAGGCCGGGGTGTAGAACTTTCTAGTGCAGACATGACAGGCAGTGGCAGAATCGCCTAATACTGTGTTTCTCTTCTGCAGAAGGGTACCATGCCCGTGGAAAGGATGCGGATGCGCCCGTGGCTCGAGGAACAGATAAATTCAAATACAATACCAGGGCTGAAGTGGCTTAACAAGGTAAGTGTGCTGGGTGCTTGTGTGTTTGTGTGAGAGAGAGACAGAGAGAGAAGGAGGGTGGATCCTTACATGCATGTAGACCGCCAAAAAGTAAAATTGCATTCTTTGTGTTCAAAATCTTATGCCTATTAATTATAAAACCAACCCATCCTAAATGATCTCTGTTTTTCTTTAATGGTTCTTACCCTCTTCTTCTCTGAATTTTTCTCCTGCTCCTCCTGGTTTTCTAGGATCAGAGGATGTGGAGATTCTTGGGTTTTATATTGGGAATGGAGCATCTTGGCTTTCTTCTCAGTATTCTCTATAGAGAAAATTTTCGGCTTTGTCTTAAAAAATATTTTAAAAAACAGTTTATTTATTTATTGTTTGAGAGACAGAGACAGCATGAGTGGGAGAGGGGCAGGGAGAGACAGTCCCAAGCAGGCTCTGCACTAGCAGATGTGGGGCCTGATCCTTGGAAGCGGCAAGATCACGACCTGAGCTGAAACCAAGAGTCAGACACTTAGCCAGCTGAGCCACCCAGGTGCCCCTGTCTTCTCTTTTTATTGTGAAACACTGTGTGCCTACTTGTCCTAAAAAAGTAGTCTGTCATTTACAACCCCTCCACATATGTACACATACATACACACGTATACATAAATAACTCCCTTACTTTATCAACCTCAAACTCTCAGTCTAATTGATCCTATCTGTTAGGAGTAAATCAGGAAGAGAGTGGATGTCAAAATAAAGAACACTTGAAAATATATAGTTATCAGCTAGAAAAGCATCTAACATATCACCCCGTCTTTAAGAAGGCCCAAGGGAGAAGTTTCTCTCCCACTACTAGGAATATCTCAGTTCTTCTGAGTAAACTTCCTTTTCCACTTCTGCCTCCCCACTTATTTTAATCTTAAGGGCCCGATGAATAATTCAGCTGGTCAGGCTTTATCTTTGTATCGCGTGCTTGAGTGCTTAGGGCCTGACGTGGCCCACTTCTAACAAGTATGCCGGATACTACAGCATCATTGTGTTTAATAAGATCACTCCTGGCTTCATCTTTGGTTTTCAGACATCTCTCGAGCTTTATTTCTTTTTTCTCATCCACTTTTTTTTTCACTCATTTTAAATGTATTGTTTCTTGAGTGCATCGGTTTCGGTGGGTCCTTTCTGAAACAAGGGTGGGATATGAAGTAAATAGAAATAACTTAAGTAAACCATATGCCCACTTCATGAGAGCTGTCGTATTATCTTAAGATCTCATGGCAAATAAAACAGTTTTCTAGGCATGCTGGATCTCTGCTGTTTTAGATTTGTATCCCAGAGGGGTTTTGTAAGTAGCCTGCTCCAAAGAGACAAAGAAATCAATCAGGTTGGGCCCTGGTGTCCTTGGTCAGCAGGCGCACAGGTGGAATTCTAAGGAGAGGGGAGGCTGTTATCGAGGAGAGCTGAAGAAACATGGGGTACTCCATAATGATGATAATAATAGTAAAAACAGCTACTCCTTGAAGCAAGATACATGCATTAGCTCGTGTGATCCCCACAGTGGGGTGGGTACTATTATGTTTTCCATTTTACAGACCAGGAAGCCAAGGCACAGAGTCATTAAGTAGGGTTATAGTTTAAAAAAATTTTTTTAATGTTTATTCATCTGAGAGAGAGAGAGAGAAAGTGAGAGTGAGAGTGTTGGAGGGGCAGAGAGAGAGATACACAGAATCCAAAGCAGACTCCAGGCTCTGAGCTGTCAGCACAGAGCCCGATGCAGAGCTCGAACTCTCCACCCTGAGATCATGACCTGAGCCCAAGTTGGAGGCTTAACCAACTGAGTCACCCAGGAGCCCCAGTAGGATATTTTAAAGAACGAGATAACATTGCCTATATCCATCAATCAGAGTATGAAATTAAAACAGAAGTTCCTGATTTCTGGAGAGAAGTAACTTTTTTTTTCTTTGTACAAAAATACATCCACCAGTTTTGGCTGGCTTGATGTAGTGGCAAATTTAACATGTCATCGCGTCCCCTGTAGGGGTAGGCACTCGATAGGGTGCAGTGAACTGTTCTTTGAGTAGGGCTGAATTGTGCCCCCTCCCCTCAACCCTGCAAACCATATATCCACCTCTACCCCCCTCCCCCAACCTGTGAATGCGCCCTTGCCGGTAAAAAGGGTCTTTGGGAAAAGTTAAGGATCTCAAGATGAGATGCTCCTGGATCGTCTAGCTGGGCCAAAGTGATGACAAGTGTCCATATAAGAGGCAGAAAAGAGAAGATCCAGGCAGAGCAGAAGACAGAGCGACGACAGAGGCAGCGATTAGAGAGATGGATCCACTTAGGCGAGGAGCACCTGACCCCACCGGAAGCTGACGGTGGAGGGAGGATTGTCCTTACAGCCTCTGAAGGAGGTGGAGCCCTCCTGACTTCCGGGTTTCCGGCCTCCAGAACGGTGCTGGGCGGTACGCCGCCCCGGCCCTGGGAAACGAATCCGCCCCCCTGGGCTTGCTTCCTGCCGGGACTCTTCCAGCGAGACACCTTCTCTTCCGTCTACTTCGTCCGTCTGTGGTTTTCTGAGAGAGGACCGCGCCGGGAATGGATGCTTTTCTGTGCGGCGAACACCCCGCCCCTGTCAGGTGGCCTCCCGCCGAGCTCCACGCGGCTGGCTCTTGGCTTGTTGACTTCTCGTCCCTGGCGGCGCGGGAAGGGAGACCCCTCGGCCACCTCCTCGTCTGTCCCCGCTGCCGCCCCTCCGCCCGAGCCGCCGTGGCTGCCCCGGTGAGGCCTGTCAGGCGCCGGGAGCCGCCGTGGCCGCCGCGGGGAGGCCTCCCGGGCGCTGGAGGCCGCGTGCGCCCAGGGGCGCGTCAGTCAGGCCGCCCCCCCCCCCCCCGGACTGGGCAGTGTCGCAAGGTTGTCTGTGCTCAGGCAGGGCTGTCACCGTCACAGTGCACCTCGGATGGCCTGAGGACGTCTTCTCTCCGTACCTCCCCCCCCGGGCATCTTTTTATAGGTTTCTGCTAACTTAGGCTTTGGCATTCATCTGCCCACGTAAACCTCGGAGACCTTGCTCTTAATTCCTTCTCCCTGATGAGCACTCTGCCCGAAATCCCCGCTGGTGTTCCGTGGTTTGAGGTCATCGTCAAATGTCTTCTCCCACTTATGACTGGTGGTGACTCTTCGAAAACGGCCGTCTTCGGTCAGGCCGCCCTGAACGCGCCGGATCTCGTCTGATCTCGCAAGCTAAGCAGGGTCGGGCCTGGTTAGTACCTGGATGGGAGAAAACGGCCCAGTCCCCGGCCTCTGTTACTCACTGGTGCCTTAGCTGCGTTGTTCAGAGTGTGTTGGCGCGGATGGGGGCTACTCGGTGCTGGAAGGCCCTGGAGGGCAGGCAGGGAGGCCTCGGTTCTTACTGCCCGCTGCGGGGTGCTGGGCCGCCTGCCTGGCGCCTTGGAGCCAGTAGGTGGATGTGGTCCCGTGAGTAAGTGGGAGAATGATATGTACTCAAGGAGAAGCAGCTTTGGTGACTGTTTAGGTTGTTAAGATAATTAGACTTAAGAACATCGGCTTGGCAGGGGTGCTGCGGTGGCTCAGTCGGTTGAGGATCCGACTTCGCTCAGGTCATGATCTTGATGTTCGCGGTTTCAAGCCGTGCATGGGGCTGTGTGCCGACAGCTCCGAGCCTGGAGCCTCCTTGGGATTCTGTGTCTCCCTCTCTCTGCCCCTTCCCTGCTCATGCTCTGTCTTTCAAAAGTAAAAGTAAAAAAAATAAAGAAATAAAAGATCATTGGCTTGACAGTTGTCCTTCTCTCAAGTAGAGAGTCCGTCAAACCCAGTACATTCTTTTTTTTTTTTTTTTAAATGTTTTATTTATTTCTAGGAGAGAGAGAGAGAGACAGCGTGAGCAGGGGAGGGTCAGAGAGAGAGGGAGTGACAGACTCTGAAACAGGCTCCAGGCTCCGAGCCGGCAGTCAGCACAGAGCCCGACGCGGGGCTCGAACCCACGAACCGCGAGATCATGACCTGAGCGAAAGTCGGACGCTTAACCGACAAAGCCACCCAGGCGCCCCAAACCCAGTACATTCTTAGTAAGAGACAAATAGGTGGCTGATTAATGCCTTAACTTTGTTTCCGTCTCCTGTTCTCAGTACATTTTGAGGAGAACGGTGGTGGCATGTGTCCTTTGCACTCTGCAGAAGGAGCAGTGAGGAAGTTTGGCGGAAGCAGCATTATCAGTAGCTCATGAAAGAGGCCTTGGATTGGCCCGTTGCTTTTTGTAAATTTTTGCAGAAAGAGAAGGGGGAGGGAGAGGGGCAGAGGGAAAGAGAATCTTAAGTAGGCTTCACACTGAGCATGGAGCCCCATGGAGGGCTCGATCCGACGACCCTGGGATCATGACCTGAGCTGAAATTAAGAGGCGGACACTCAATTGACCGAGCCACCCACGCATGCCAGTGCCCATTACTTTTTATTAGGAGTATTTGTGCGCACACACACAGTAGGTTTAAAGAGTATAATGACTAGAGAGGAGTGTAGCAAAGTCCCATGTAGTGTTAAAATTCACATCTAGATTTAACTGTTACTAATATTTTTTAAACAATGTTTTATTCATTTTTGAGTGAGCAAGCACAAGCAGGGAAGGGGCAAAGAGAGAGAGGGAGTTATAGGATCAAAGCAGGCGCCACACTGACAGCAGGCTGACAGCTACCTGACATGGGGCTCGAACTCACGAAGTGCAAGATCATGACCTGAGCCGAAGTCGGGTGCTCAACCAGCTGAGCCACCCAGGCGCCCCAGTTATTAACATTTTAAAAACTTGTGCGTGTATAGCATTTGAAAGCGACTCCCTGAGAGTGTACATCTATAAGACTTAAAACCGTTTTCTATATATTCACAGTACTATTATCAATTGTATAACCATAAATTAATCATAAGTAATCATGCACATCATCATGCATGATGCATAATATCATCACTGCACCGTCCATATCGGAAATGCCTGACTATTCCCAAAATGTGCTTGTACAGTTGATTTGTTCAGTCAGAATCCAGAGAAGGCACACAGGTTGTGTTTGGTTGTTCTGATTTGAAGTGTCTCCTGATTGTCATGTTTATGAACAGTAGCTCCTCTTTTTTCCCCTTCTTGCCATTGACTTGTGGAAGAGACCAGGTCAGTTCTGGATTGGTTCAAGTGCTTGCTTGTGGTTTCTCTGGGCCATTTCTCGAGGAAAGAAGGAGGCAGCCATATCCAGGTTCGTTTCCTTTGTAGCTCTGATTGGTTCCCACTCTGGTTCTTCTTCTCATTTCGTGTGGGACATCTGCCTGGACCCCGGGGCCCCAGCCACTCCCCAAGTGTACAGTGTCACTAGGTGGTTTCAGACCTTATCCTGTCATTCACGAGCTGGCTTGTGCTAACATAAATGTGAGGTCATCTCAGAACAAGGTAAGGAGTCCAAACAAAAATAGCAGAGCAAATTGGATTATCCTATAGATAGTGGAGGAGAGAAGAGGCAGAGGAAGTTAAACGAATGAGTTTCCATTTGGGGCCAAGAGATGTTTGTTCTGCATTAATCAAGATAATCTTAAATGTTCTTCTCAATCCAAGCAGTGCTTCTCCCTCCTGCCCTCAGGCAGGCAGAGTCCTCTCACTGTATAAACAGGGGTAGAGCCTGGAACATTCTGTCCTTCCATAGATGGTAGGCACATCCTATGTGGATGGGACACTTCAGGGCTTCTCATAGGAAATACTGATGTCCCAGGGTTTACAGAGACACAGAGCAATGCCATTACCATCCCATAGGACATAATGATCTATGACCAGAATGTTTACTGGTCAAAATCTCTTCCAATTAAAAAAAAATTTTTTTAATGTTTTTATTTTTGAGAGAGAGAGAGAGAGAGAGAACAAGCAGTGGAGGGGCATAGAGAGAGGGACACAGAGAAGCCGCAGGCACCAGGCTCTGAGCTGTCCGCACAGAATCCTAGACGGGGCTCGAACTCATGAGCCACAAGATCATGACCTGAGCCAAAGTCGGGTGCTCAACCGATTCAGCCACCAGGCAGCCCCAGAATCTCTTCCAGTTTTAAAATGAGTCTCCCCGTCTTTACCTTTTAACATAGTCTTAAAAAAACATATATGTGATATATTTATTAGTTGTTTATTTTTTGCAACATGAAAAAGTAGTTAAAAGTTAACATGTAGTTTTTTGGGGATACCTGGGTGGCTTCCTTGGTTAAGTGTCCAACTCTTGATCTCAGCTCAGGTCATGATCTCATGGTTTGTGAGATCAAGCCCCTCATTGGGCCCTGTGTTGACAGTGTAGAGCCTGCTTGGGATTCTCTCTCCCTTTCTCTCTGCCCCTCCCCTACTCATGCTCTATCTCAAAATAAATAAATACACTTTAAAAAAAGTTACATGTATTTGCAGAATTTTGATCACCCCGAGAGGAAAACACTGTGCCCATTAAGCAGTCACTTTCCATGGCAAGGCATTGCAAATCTTTCCCTTGTGCAAGGCATCTACTAGTCTGGTTTCTGCCTCTTTGAATTTGCCTTTTCTGTACCTTCCTATAAATGGAACCATTCAATATGTGGCCTTTTGTGGAAGGCTTCTTTCACTGAGCGAAATGTTCAAAGTTCATTCATGTTTGTAGCTTGTGTCAATAGTGCTTTCCTTTTTGTGGCTGAATAATATTCCATTTAATGCATATACAACATTTTCTTTATCCATTCAGCAATTGATGGACATTTGGCTATTGTGAGTAGCACTGTTATGAACATTCATGTGTAAATATTTGTTTCAACATCTGTTTGTGATTTGTTGAGTGAAATTCCTGGGTCATGTGGGTACTCTGTGTTTAACTTTTTGCAGACTAGCTGTTTCTACACCATTTGACATTCCCACCAGCAGTGTGTGAGGGTTCATTTCTCCATGTCCTTACCAATAACTTATTACTTTTTTTTTTTTTAATCTAGCCATCCTGGGTTAGGAAATGGTATCTCATTGTTTTGATTTGCATTGGCCTAATGATTGGTGATGCCGGGTGTCCTCATGTTCTTATTGGCCATGTTATTTATCTGCTTTCAACAAAGGTCCATTCAGACTCTTTGCATATTAAAGAGGATCCAGGAATCTGTGGTGGATAATTGCTAGGTTTAGTCATTATGTTTGTTGTTACATGATTTGGGCATAGTTTCTGTAGGACTAGGTTTGGTAGGGTGAGTGTGTGTGTGTGTGTGTGTGTGTGTGTGTGTGTGTGTGTATGTGTGTGTGTGAGTGTATGTGTGTGTGTGCATGTGCGCGCCTGCCCCCACGCACACAAATGCTTGAGAAGATCTATATACCAGAATCCTTTGTGCTTAATGAGCTAGATTTCAGCTTGGGTGACTGACCTCCAGAACTCCTTTGACCTACAGAAAGGTCCAACAGCTAATTCTTTGAAGGGCCTAGGTCTTGAAGCATAAGCCTTTAGATTCTGGTTGCTCTTTTGAGGAGAAGCTTTTTCACAGAAGTAATTTTTTTTTTTCATTTCCATGTGAACATCAAAAATGACATTAAAATGATTTTGCCCTCTGATTTTCATCTACATTAAAAAAATAAAATTTCAACGAGCCCTTTGCTCATCCCTGCCGTTTGGAGATGGCTAACCTGAAACCACGCAGTCTCGGTCGATGATACAGAAGGAACAAGGAGAAGTTTATGAAAAGTCTCTGGCTTTCAGTTCTTTTTAATTTTAACAGTTTTGGGGAAACTCTCAAATGTTCTGAAATATTTTTAGTTCAGGCTTTGTGATCGGCTCTATAGAGAGGCACTGAGTCCCTTTTTGGGTCAGTTGGGACCCTTTCTGTCTTTCACTGTGTGAAACCAAGGTGGTGGAAAATCCCTACAGACATCGTCTTCCCTTCCCCAGTGTATTTTGCAGGGGTCCCCATTCCTAGAAACTACCAGAACTACCTTGAGGGCTTCAAAAAATACAGTTTTTCCTGGGCTTAGATTCCACAGAATCCAAGACAACAGATGTGGCATAGGATTGTCTGGGAGACGGTGTGTGGTTGATTAAGTGATTGAACATGGGATCACCTGACATGGTTTTGAATTCAGACACTACGATTATTTCCTTGGCTATAGAATTTAATTCTGTTTCTCGGTTTCCTCAGCTGTGAAACAGAAATAATAACATACGTGGAGCTCCGTAGGTTCTTGCAGAAAACAAAACTGAGACCATGTGACCATGTGGACAGTCAGATGTAAAGTGTCACGGGAACTCAGTAATTGCTGGTCCTGTCCGGAGAGCTGATTGAACATGTTGCACATGAGCATGACTTTGTTTCCAAAGTGCTGGCTTCTAATCTTTTGCTTGCCAGGGTTGATTCCAGCTACTTTGAGTTACCTCTTGGGCTGTAAGAGAGATGGAGAGGGTCTACTGTAGGAATTGCACCAAGACACTTCTCCAGGAAAGTAGTATCATCTCTGGACACTCAGTACATCTTCGTTTGCCCGTCTTGCTCTTCCATGCAGGGCAGGAGATGCTTAGGGGTTAGGACATTAGACCACATCTTCAATTTCTGTTGGCTACACAAGTAGATTGAGGTATTTGGTCTCTGGGCCACTGACCTCAGATAACCCTGATTTCCCTTTTAGCAGCACAAATGGGTATCATTCTGGAGAGTTGCCTAATTTTTAATTTACCTAAGGCAACCAGACTTCCTCTTTAGCAAACGATGGAAATCAGTGGTAATAATAAGCATTAAAAGTTGCAGTCAGTGGCTGGTTATCTATAGTCCTTTAAGGAAAAATGACGCGGGTAACAGGATGCATTGACACATCCCCAAATCATCACCTTTGACCTTGGAATAACATTCATATGCTGCCAGGCTCCACGCAACTCTGAATCTTTCAGGAATGGGCTGTCAAGATTTGGGGTCCAGAGGGGAGGTGGGTTTGGTTCATGATGGATTTCACCGTATCAGCAAACCCAGTGACACTCCGTAGAGAATCTTAACTGGTTGGGGCTTACAAACCTCCCTCCCGCAAAGGTGGCCTGAACCCCGTGGCTGCAGTTATTTTTTTGCTTTTGTTTTCCAGGAAAAGAAGATTTTCCAGATCCCTTGGATGCACGCGGCTAGACATGGGTGGGATGTGGAAAAAGATGCGCCACTCTTTAGAAACTGGGCCATCCATACAGGTATCAAAATGCCCTGCACTGTTTCTAGAGGCAGATGCCGTTGTTGGTGTGCTTACATGTCTTCTGTTTCTTAGACTGAGGTGTAAATTGCCAAATAAAATTGTAAGGTATTTAAAGTGTACAATGTGATGATCTGATGTAAGCACTGTGAAAGGATTTCCCCCTATCAAATCGATGAACACTTCTGTCACCTGTCACATTTACCTTTTATTGTTTTTGTTTTTAGTGAGAACAGTGACATTTTACTCTCTTAGCAAATTTCGATTATACAGTTAATACACTGTTCACCATCGTTTTGTGTTTTTTTCTCACTACACACGTATGGCGTACGGCCTCGTGAGGATAGCTCTGAAAAACTGGTGACGTGTCCCCAGGCACGTCCAGGACACATGGGGTACACACTTCATCATTCAGAAGTGATGCTATGCCCATGCTAGAGAAACTTAGTCCTTAAGTTTCCTGTACTTAATGTGGGATTCTGATTGTGTGCCCCAGGTGTGTGCCAGGGGAATATAGAACTCGTTTGTTCTGGAATGGTAAGCTTGGGTTGGATTTATCTCTCCAAATGGTAGTCAAGAATATATTTATTTATTAAAGGTCAGTTATTTATTTTGAGAGAGAAAGAGAGAGCGAGGGAAGGGCAGAGAGAGAGAGGGAGAGAGAATCCCAAGCAGATTCCACGCTGTCAACGCAGAGCCCGACACGGGGCTCAGTCCCATGAACTGTGAGATCATGGCCTGAGCCGACATCAAGAGTTGGACGCTTTATAACAAAATTTAAGTAGGGAGCTATTTACAGGAATAGGCTTTCTGATTAATATTTGAGTCAGATGACAAAGAGACACTCCAGTTATCAGGGTTTGTTGGCCTCCTGGCCTTCCAGCCTTCTCTGTTACTTACCTAGATTCTCCTTTCTTCTTCTGTTATGAAGTTTTTCTCAAGCTGTTTGGTAGAGCCAGAGTGACCAGTTTGTCAGTTTGCCCGGAAGTGTCCAGGTTTTAAAACAAAAATTCTCACATCCCAGGAATTTAGTCTTAGCCCCAGGCAAACCAGGACAGTTGGCCACTGTAAGTATAGCCTTGAATTAAAAGGCCTCTCTGCACTACCTAGCCAGCATTCCTTATACTTCCAGACATTTTTACTTATATTTTCCCCCTCTTTTTCTTCTTTTTTTTTAAATAAATTTTTTTCCTACTTATTTTTGAGAGACAGAGAGAGAGAATGTGTGTGTGAACAGGGGACGGGCAGAGAGAGAGGGAGACACAGAATCTGAGGCAGGCTCCAGGCTCTGAGCTGTCAGTACAGAACCCGATGTGGGGCTTGAACTCACGAACTGTGAGATCATGCCCTGAGCTGAAGGTGGATGCCCAACCAGTTGAGCCACCCAGGTTCCCCTTCCTCTCTCTTTCTTTTTTTTTTTTTTTTTTTTTTATTTTTAGGAGGGAGAGAGAGAGAGAGACAGAGAGAGCGAGCAGGGGAGGGTCAGAGAGAGAGGGAGTCACAGACTGAAACAGGCTCCAGGCTCTGAGCTGGCAGTCAGCACAGAGCCCGACGCGGGGCTCGAACCCACGAACCGCGAGATCATGACCTAAGCGAAAGTCGGACGCTTAACCGACTAAGCCACCCAGGCGCCCCTCCTCTCTCTTTCTTAACCTTCATTCTTTTGGCTCTTTTGTTAGGAAAGCATCAACCAGGAGTAGATAAACCTGATCCAAAAACATGGAAGGCGAATTTCCGATGTGCGATGAACTCCTTGCCTGACATTGAAGAAGTCAAGGATAAAAGTATAAAAAAAGGAAACAATGCCTTCAGGGTATACCGGATGTTGCCGTTATCTGAACGACCTTCTAAGAAAGGTAGATAAAGAAATTTACTGATGAAAACCACGATCCCCGTATATACATTGTAGTACCTTTGTGGTTTCTGTATTTCCACGCCTGTAGTCACTCGAGAGAGGGAACACTCGTTCACACTGTAGATGATGGTCCTGCCTTCCCCTGGCTGGGGGAAGTGACGGTCCCGTCACCAAAGGCAGCCAAACATTGGAATTTTGATGATATATACATTAAAACATGTACAGCTTCATTGAGAGTTTCAGAAAGAAATTGAGGGGACATGTTCCTCTGTGTGTTCTTCACAAATTAACCCAAAACTGTTTTATTTGTTGCCACAGGAAAGAAACCAAAGACAGAAAAAGAAGATAGAGTTAAGCACATCAAGGTAATCTTTGGTTATCCAGAGAGAAAGCCAAACTTGTGACCGTATTTATTAATGACTCGTATTTTGTCTCGTGAAAACAAGTAATGGGATCTCTGTGAAGTATTTAATCTTTCCTCTTTGGCTGTCGTGTTTTATGTGCTTTGCATGTCTCCTCTTTGGCCAGTCCCCTCTTGTAGACTCCACACGCATATCCCCTGCTTAATCCGATTTCACTGAGCAGTTTATGAATGAAGTCACAAATTCACGCTGATCTGGACTCCAGCCTCCATCTGTTGCCAGCTGGTCACTTAGTGTCCGCAGAGCTCCAGCAACCAGCTACTGTCCTGGTCATATGTCCAATCATATGAAGTATATTTTTAGGCTATTAAATATATTTAATGTATTACTAAGTAGTATATACTGATATTACAGTGTAGCACCTTGATATTATGTTTGTATTCCATGACAGGCCGTTAGGTTAGGGGCACAGTGGTCCATTTGAACACCCTGTTAGTGCGGCTCTCAGCAGTTTCTTTCTGTTCCCCTCCCCCCATCACCCAGAGCTACCTCTCATGGCTCCCAAAGGTATGTTTGTGTGTGTGAGCGTTTCAGTAGGCTGTGTGGTCTGGAACCCCCTGTGGTGTGAGGGGATTGTGTAGTCCTTGTTAAATAGCCAGAGAAGAGGCAAACGTCCCCTGGAAAACGGAGGATGAGCTCCCGTTGCCAAGCAAAGAGCAGACACTATGTCCCCCAGGCCTACAGACCAACGAAGAGAAGATTGTCTCAGGGTTCACTGCACACCATTTGCAGGTGGAGAAACTGAGGCTCCAGGGAGTTGAATGATATGGGCCCAAAGGCTGTAGGTCATGTGGCCAAGGTCACATGGGCCTTTAGAACTGACCTTAAAGGTGATGCCAAGTATTATGATCCCTAATCCACTGTCACTTTTGAGGAAAAAAAACAAAGTGTCCAGACAGCACAATGTTTAAAAGCAAGCCAGTTAGTAAAACAGTCAGGAAAAAATACAAGACTATTTACTTCTGATATAAAGTTAATCTTGTGACGGTAGACAGAGTTTGAGGGGAAGCTGAGATAAATTGGAAAACAAATATTTTAGGCAGAGTATTAGTGATGCCCCCAATTTCATTCTAAATATTTTCACTTTGTGACTTATTTTAAATGCAGAGTGGTACTAAAGCCTAGTTTTAACTTTGTAAAAAATTTTTTTGATGTTTATTCATTTTTTGAGAGACAGAGAGACAGAGCATGAGTGGGGGAGGGGCAGAGGGCGAGGGAGACAGAATCCGAAGCAGGCTCCAGGCTCTGAGCTGTCAGTACAGGGCCTGACACAGGGCTTGAACTCACAAACCACAAGATCAGACCTGAGCCAAAGTTGGAAGCTTAACCGACTGAGCCACCCAAGCACCCCAATTTTAACTTTTTATTGTAGAAAGTTTTTGTGCACACAGAAAGGCGACAACTGAGTAAAATTTACTCTGCAAGCATCACCCTAATTTCCACATTAATTGGCTCATAGCCATTTAGTCTTGCCTCCATCGCTTCCCCCCCATCCCATGTGAAGTTGCAAACTGCAGGCAGACATTTTTAAAGGTTTATTTTTGAAAGAGAGAGTGTGAGTGGGGGAGGGACAGAGAGAAAGGGGGAGAGAAGATCCAAAGTGGACTCTGTGTGGACAGCAGTGAGCCAGACTCAGGGCTGGAACTCATGAACAGTGAAATCGTGACCTGAGCTGAAGTTGGATGCTTAACCGACTTAGCCACCCAGGTGCCCAGCGGATAGCCATTTTTGACTCCTAAAAACCATTTCAGATGGTTCAGCTCACTATTCTGAAGCAAAATCCACATCGTCTCATGTTTCCCCCATAACTATTTCAGTATATATCTTCAAAATACGGACACTCTTTAAAAATTGCTATCAACACAGTATCATTATTGCATCTGAAAAGTTAACAGTAATTCCTCAATAGCATCAAATATCTGGTGAGTGTTCAGATTCCCAGTTGTCTCGTAAGTGATGTAATTTTTATACGGTCTGTTTACTTGATTTAAAAGCCATGTAAGGTTCCCACATTGTGATTGGGGGGTATGTCTCTCAAGTTTTTTTAATTTGTAGGTCTTCCTTAACATCACTTTAAAAAAAAAAAACAACTTGTTTTTCCTTGCAATTGAAAAAAACCTAGTTATTAGTTTCAGGTTTCCTGGAGTTTGGATTTTTTTTAGGGCCTACATTTTAATTAGTGTTGTTTAGTCTGAAAAGTTTAACTTCCCCACAAATATGTGAGTTTGAAGAGTTTGTACAGTCTTAGGTATGACTGTGTCATATTTACACTGATTTCATAGCATGTAGCTCAGTGCTTGGTATGGAACAGATACTTAATACATATTTGATCCCTAAATAGATGCACAAAGAAATATAACATGTGAGGTGGGACCGCAGGGTTTACATTGCAATGCAGATTTAATTTCATACTCTCTGTTAATAGACAATAAGAATGGAGTAACAGATGTTCACTTTCAACAAACCTGGCTCTTACATATTTACCAGAGTCCATCGAAAATAGATGCCAGTAATTATAAGATATGCCATTCTTTTAGGTATGTCCATGCAAGAAAAACTGCTTACAATGAAACATGGCCCATAACCGAATGACAGGGCAATCCTATTTTAGGGCTGTGGAGATGTGCCTCTTAGAATAGATGACACGGGGTGTTCTTGTAAGCAGAAGACACCTTCAGTCACATAAGCAATGGAAGTATCTTTCATATGGCCACTCAGTTGAGCAAGTTGTAGAAGGGGCGGCCCTGGATGAGGTTTGGCCGTATTGGTCCAGGGGAGCAATCGAGAGCTTTCCTCTTACATGCAGCTCTGTAGGTCACGTTCCATCCCAGCCAAGTGTACATAGTGAAATCCGCCAGTGATGACGGTATGGTTCATCCCTGAGACTTGTCCCTCAGATAGACATTGTTCCTTCGCAGAAGGCAGGCGATTCATCAGAAGTAAGCACAGCCTGTTTTTTATTTAAATCTGCTTGCACCTGTCACACAGGGTAGCAGCAGAGTCTAGATAAGGCCTGTAGCCTTCCCAAGTCCTGTGGCTCGTGACCGCTAAAGCCACTATGTTTCCTAAAACGTTCATGTAAAACGTTTCCAAAGTTAAGTCTCCAGGTTGCCTGGGATCATACAGTTTAAGGGCTTTATCCTTACTGAGCTATATACGTTACTTTCTGTCGTCACAGTGCCTGCGCTCTGAGTTAATATGTCCTGTGCCATTGTGCAGCTGGGTCGACTGGGTCGGTTTCTTGCACTGAGAAAATTTGCCTTGTGTCTGGTAACCAGGTGGGAGAAATTGCTATTGAGACAAGCGCCTCCCAGTCTTCATTGAGTTCAAGTTGAAGTTTTAACTAGCAAATGATGTTTCGAACATGTGGGCTGAGTGTCAGCATTTTTCTTGGGTAGGTCAGGCAGTTTCTCTCCATGATCCATGTTCCCTCAGCCAGCAGCTTCCCTGAGACTGGGAAACTGAGGCCCATCGGCCATGCAGGAGGTGCAGAAACTCTGCCTTGATATTCCTTGATGTTCTCTTTGTGAATCTGTATGTTCAGAGCTCAGTGAGCCATGTTTTACTGGAACTGGGCTTTGCCTGTATGAAGGTAACCATCTAAGGAAATAAGACTAAGACACACAGCAGGGAGCAATACTATATTGTGCATCTTCAGTGTGTATATATGTTTCAAAAAAATGTCACCAGGCCAAGATCAATAAGTAGTGAAGTGGATAAACAGAGGGTGGGAGCTGACATTTTAGAGCCAAGTTCTACCAAGTTCTGAGCTCTAATTATTATGTCACTTAGCTCTCCCTGTGATGGGCAGGTTATGAGGAAATGGGGGTACAGGGAGTTGAGTAATTGCCCCAAGGTAGCACTGCTTCATGAAACTGAGATTTGAATCGGGGTTGGTCTAGCTCCGGAATCCATACTCTCTCACCACACCTGGTGCCTCTTGGCCTTTCGGAAGCTGTGGGACCTGAGCCAGGGTTTGGGGCAGGGATCAAATAAAATGGTCGTCAGTCCCCGGCACCAGGAGCATCAAATGAAGGCCAGGAAGTTAGAGTTGCTGTTTGGTCTTCCCTGGATGAGTCAGGAAACCGGCTTAATTAGAGCAGGAGTCTGCGTGAGGCAACAGTGGGAAACAAAGACTGTGGGTGAGGAGGATTAGAAATTAATACTTCCCGCTTCATTGGATTATTTGCAGATGAAACAGACATGCTTTGAAACTATAAAGTGCTCCCAGATCAAAGCATTGGTACTATGATGGGAAATATATTTGAAGAGGTTCCTCTAAAGCCACTTGGTAAAGAGCAGGCCTGGTGTGTATTAGTTCTGACAGCAGACCTCTGGGTAGAAGTTACAGAAAAGCAGGTATTTGGTTTTTATTAAAAACATTTTTTTAAATGTTTGTTTATTTTTGAGAGACACAGTGCGAGTGAGGGAAGGGCAGAGAGAGGAGACACAGAATCCAAAGCAGGCTCCAGGCTCTGAGCTATCAGCACAGAGCCCGATGCGGGGCTTGAACCCACAAACCATGAGATCATGACTTGAGCCGAAGTCAGACACTTCAACTGACTGAGCCACCCAGGCGCTCTTGTTTTTAGCACAACTTTTTTTTTTATATTTTATTTATTTATTTTTAAGAGAGAGACAGAGTAAGTGGGGGAGGGCAGATAGAAGGAAAGAGAGAATCCCAAGTAGGCTCCATACTGTCAGCACAGAGCCCAGTGTGGGGCTCGAACTCATGACCTGAGCTGAAACCAAGAGCTGGGTGCTTAACCTACTGAGCCACCCAGGCACCCCTAGCGCAACTTCTTTTTTTTTTTTTTTTTTTAATTAAAAAAAATTTTTTTTAATTTATTTCTGAGAGAGAGAGAGACAGCGTGAGCAGGGGAGGATCAGAAAGAGAGGGAGACACAGAATCTGAAAAAGGCTCCAGGCTCTGAGCTGTCAGCACAGAGCCCGATGCGGGGCTCAAACCCATGAACTGTGAGATCATGACCTGAGCCGAAGTCGGATGCTTAACCGACTGAGCCACCCAGGCACCCCTCTAGCACAACTTTCTAATTGAGCTGTTGGCTCTGACGGTGACTTGAGCTGGATTAAAACAACATGCTCCCTGTCACTGTCCAAAGACCACCTGTCAGTGCTGATACTGGAACAGTTGCTTCTATTGGTCAAAGAAGTCTTCAGTTTTTACACCTTAAAATCAGATGAAGACACAGGCTGGCAACCCACATGAAGAACAAGTAAAATCAGTGCTGCCCGGGATGGAGCAGGTGAGGGGGCTTGCCCTGCGTGTTTGGCGCTGGTGCCTCCTTCCACTCCTGGCAGCTCTTGAGGGTACTGCTCCGAGCACAGTGCCAAGGCTGGGTGGTTGAATAACCTCTCTGGATGGTGTTGTGAAAGAGGGCCTGGTTGAACTCCTTGGGTAAGATCAGAGCATGATGGAGTTGATAGTTGGGAATAGGATGGAATGGACGAGAGGAAACCACACTGGAAAGTGTAGATGAAGATGGCGGCAGTTCGAATGGAGAGGAGGAGAGTTTGCACAGGATATAGAGGGTGAAGACAGGCGTGCATCAAAGAGGAGGCCCTGACTCCAGCCTCATAGAAGGGAATGTTGGGAGTGGAGCATGTTTTCTGGAGAAGAGGGTGAGTTTAACTTGGGACATGTTGAATTTGAGATGACAGACCCCCGCAGCCAATGTCAGGTAGAAGAGTTGGATCTGACAGGCCCCAGAGCGCAGGTGAGGGTGGGAACGTAGGCGTGTGGTCGTGTACTCCAGAATGACACCGGAGGCCTTGACAACAGATGCCGTCTCTAAGGAGAAGCTGTATAAGATGAAAGCAGAGACCCAAGGACAAGACGAAGAGAAAAGGGCGCCAAGGAGAGAAGTCAAAGGGAGGTTGCAATGAGAGTAGGAAGAGAATGAAATTCAAGGAAGTTCTAGTTCTAGGGAAGGAAGGAATGTGTCGTGGGATGCGCAGGAGGCGTCAACCTGTATTATTAGAGTTCTTGCTCTTAGTGGCTTCATGGTATGGGGGGTGTAGTCTCCTGGGCTTTTATGAAGCCCAGCCATCAACCTGAAATTTTAGTTAGTAGAGAGACCCAGAGATGTCCTTAAATTTGGCCTCAAGGAGACGGGCTTTGTTCAGATGAATTAGGGCATTTCTGGCAGTGGGGGGCTGGGTCGCCCATGGAGATAGTCATACGGCCATTGTATTTGGCCTCAAGGAAAGGGATGTCTGGACAAGGAGCTGTGGCAAAGCAATGAGATGGAACCAGCTTGGAGCAGATGGCTGAGTGCCCCTTGCTGGCCTCTTGACTTGGTCCATCCCAAACCCCTTCACCAAGTGCAGCTTTTGAGACCACCCAAGAATGTATTACTTTAGAGGCCTAAAGAGGGCAGCCCCTGCCCTTGAACTCTCTCTTGTGCCGGTTTGCTTTTGCATAAAATCCCTTCAACTGCAGACCAAACTGTAGATTCTATACTGAGAAAAAAGTTTCTTGGTTGTAAATATTTGGCAGAGTTAATGCACCAGGGAGGGGTCTGAACCTAAGCACAATCTTTAGTTTTTTGGGGGCAGTTTAGAAACCAAAACTAGTTGATTCACGGGACAGCCTATGTCTAAACTAAGAAAGGGAACTGAAAGAGGAGGCTGGTTCAGGATTAATCAGACCCGGCTGTGGTACAGCAAGGCAGGGGACAGGGCAGGCATGGGCACCGTACGGGAGCAGGAGAGGCTGGACAAAGTCCTCTATGCACATGTTCCGTAGAGAACTGTGCACCCCCTTTCTTAGTTTGACTTCTTTGCTTTTTTAAACATTTTATGAGTGTTTGTTTATTTTTGAGGGGGGAGAGAGAGAGATTGTCAGGGAGGGGCAGAGAGAGAGGGGGACACAGAATCAGAAGCAGGCTCCAGGTTCTGAGCCATCAGCACAGAGCCTGATGCAGGGCTCGAACTCATGGACTGTGAGATCATGACCTGAGCCAAAGTCAGAGGCTTAACTGACTAAGCCACCCAGGACCCCCCTCTTTTTAAACTTTTTCTAAAGTACATAGTTTAGGTTTGACTGAGTACAGTGAAGATCTCTGTTGTTTTGCACCCTGGGTGGAGACCTTCTGAGAGGCGCTACATCCCACTCCTCAGGTTACTGTACTGTCCTTCCAGAGTGATAATGCCGAAGAGATGGTTTGCACCGAAGACTTCAAAAGCAACAGGGCATCTCTGAAGTAGGATGGGAGGAATAAAACCATGTTTGAAATAGTCTGACTCCTCTCCACTGGTAGAGTGTTCTGTTCCATTAAAGACATAGCGCAGGGCACAGGGCAGGGATGGGGTGGGAAGTAAAACTGTTGAAAATAGTTCTCTCTGAATCTCTGTGGGGAGTAGCGCAGGGTTTACTAAGACAGAAGGCTCCTGGAATCGGATCATGTTGCGTGACCAAAGACTGGAGTTTGGTTCTTATATCTCCTTAGGCTAAAAGTAGTGTGATCTTGGAAAATTAGTTTAGTCTCTGAGTCATAGTTTTCTCAAGTGTAGAGTTGATAGAAGTATCACTTGCCACTAATTAAACTGTAGATCATGAGAAGCACTTGAGAGGCCCTCAGTTGAGATCAGAATAATTTAGGTTTTTAAATCTATGCACGTTTGGCTCCCTCATTACTTTTGTAAGCAACCTAGAAGCAGAGTGAGTAAAAAATAACTTCACAACCTAAGAGAGGCATAAAGATTAGCAGCTCTTTTCATAATTTCTTTACATGTTCCACATGTAGTTCCTTTTGGGCAATTGAGGAAAAGGAACATGAAAGAATGAATTGAGGGGCGTGACTGGGGAGGGAGATGTGGAGAGGGGGCCACCGAGGAAGCAGCGAGAGAGGCAGGTGGCATCAGAAGGTGGGGAATTCTAGTAACGTCAGACAGTCACGTCAGGAGGGATCTTGCAGTGCCCCCTGTTGGGTGGGGCTGAGGGACAGGACTCAAGGGAAGGTCATTGTATTCTCGAGCAGTTCTGATCTTGAATAACAGAAAGCATCTATTTGATACTAAGTGCCAGGTGCATATTTATCTCATTTAATCTTCACATCATGCCTGGGCCGTGGGTCCCTTATTGTCCTCAGTTCACAGCTGCCCACAGTGCCCTAGAAAAGGCTTGAAGAGGGGTAGATGAGGTCCTGCATCCAGTACAAGGTGGCCGAGACAGGCTGTGAGCCCAGCTCCGTGTGACCGCAAAGCCTGACGGACAGCAGGCTTGTCTGCCCAGCCCCACAGGAGCCGAGAGCCGGAGCCCACGGCTGGGGTGGCGGCCAGACCCCAGGCCCTGATAAGGGTGCGGGTGAGGAGGCTAAGGTGGGAAAGGCAGACGCCTCTTCAGAAGTTTGGCTAGAAAGGAAGAGAAAAGATGGAGACTCCCGTCACAGGCAAGCGAGTTTTCCCCAGAGCGGCAGAGTTCCTATTTGGACTTGTAAAAATGGGGAAACGCAAGGCTCTGCAGGAGAAAGGGAGAAAGGGGTAAAGACTGTGCCAGGGGGACTGCCCTGGGCCCCTCTTCTGTTGGCCCTGTGCCGCCTCTTGTCAGCCGTGCAGTGTGGAGCCTTATTAGGACTGAGCTGTGTAGTGAAGTGATATCTTCGAAGTTAGAGTTATTGACCATGGTGGGAGTCGGCCAGGTGGGGTTGCAAAGGAAGAGGTAGTTTCTTGCTCCTTCCCACTGATTCTGGGTAGCACATAAATAAATTGCTAGGAGTACTTGGCATGCCTTAGAGGTACCCACCACTCTGGATTTTTCAAAGCACAGGCATGTCTACCCTCAGTGATCTTCTGCTTCCGTCTTGTTTTCCTTCTGCCCCCACTCTTCATTTTGGTTTCCCAAAGGAGTTGTTCTGTGTGGCTTTTTTTTTTTTTTTTTTGTCTGACTTGATTGATCATAGATGCAGATACAATCTTACCTTGAGGAAAAGCTGTCTCATCAGAATGCTGCAAGTCAGTATGTTCGGGACAGGCTCCCCCAAAGTTAGTTGGCTTTCTCAGAGATTGGAGGGCTCCGGTGCACTTGAATAAGGCAGAATTGAGAGCTACCTTAAGGAAAAGGAATTTGTTGCATTGTGTCGGTAGGATGAATGAGTAGTCTCAGGCTGCCTGGGATGTTCAGGCACTCGAAAGGCATTTGTGTGTAGCCGTGGGTGTGGGGTTGCCCAACTGCACTCCCATTGCAGGAAAGAAGCCTTCCATGCGGTCTGGCCCATGTTATCAGCCACCCTCCCAGAACAGGGTGCTCAAGTGACCAGGTTCCAGGGCAAACCTTACCTGAGGAGAAGTCATTCACAGAGTCCCCTGGGTTCCTGCTCTTGGCTCAATGGTTGAGGCAGACCTTTTCCTCAGAAATAATTGTAAAAGACATGGCATGATTCCTCACCTTAGGATGCCAGGAGTTGACCCTCTTGAGCACTCTCTCAAAGAAGGAAGAGTTAAAAGCTAGGTACGGTACCCAGACAGTGACACAGCCCTGCTCAACCCCCCAGACCATCCTCTATAGGCGTAAGCATTTCATTAAAGCAAACCAAATGTGCTGGAGCCCTTTCCTCGAAGGAAAATACAAGAAGGCAGTACACAGCAGGTGTACTCTATGCAGAAACATGCTTCTTTAGCTTCAGGCCGATTCAGATTAGCAGGGTACGCATTCAGGAGACGAACATGAGCCTAACATTAAAGAAAGTAGACAGAGGGTAGAATTGAAGCTAAGAAAAAGGAGGGAAAAGGAAGTGTTCTCAATTCTTTTTTCTTTTCTTCTTCCTAGCAAGAACCAGTTGAGTCATCTTTGGGGCTTAGTAATGGAGTAAGTGATCTTTCTCCTGAGTATGCCGTCCTGACTTCAGCTATAAAAAATGAAGTGGATAGTACGGTGAACATCATAGGTAAACTGTTTTGACATCTCATTTTTCATATATACAAGCAGCCCCCTGGGGTCTGAAGTTTGTAAAACGTAATTTGCAATAACATAGTCAGTGGGAGGAGGTCTTGGAACCATCTCAGGACGCAAAGGTCCAGCCCCCAGATTTGAGGGCTGACAAAGAAAGACCTTTGAGGTCAGATAAAGGAGCTTGGGATGGGTCATCCTCAAGAGTGACTTTCCCCGAGAGCCTGGTAGGTGAAATGGTTCTTTTACCCCCAGTGGCTCATGATTAGTGGTTTTCCGTCTTTTCAGTAAACGGTCATACGGACAAAAGTGTTATCATTCATTAAACTTGGGACCAAGGAGAGGGAAGACTGTCCCTGTGGGCCCTCCCTGCCCCTGCACCCTCGCGGACCTACCATATAAGTGGCCCTCATTCTTAGAAATGAAGGAACTGAGGCACAGAGACCTGTTGCCAGAGGGCACCCTTCGTTCCACAAAAGTCTTGAGCGCCTTCTGTATACCAGACTCCGTGTTGGAAATTGGTTGGGGAGTAGGACAGTCTCGAAGGAGACAGACAGTCCCTACATAAAGCCACAGATACCTACAGCGCTCGCATTTGAGAAGAATGCTGCAAAGAAAAGAACAAGAGAATATCTGGGCCCAGGTTTCAACTAGAGGCTTCTCTAAGGAGCGCCATTTCCTCTGAGGTGGGTGGGTGAGGAGGGCCCGCATGGGGCAGGCCCCAGAACTGCGGGTCACGGACTCCAGTGTAGGAACCCCAGTTTAGGAGCCCACTTGGAGGGCTGGGAGGAAACCCAGAGGGCTGGGCAGGGTGAGGTTCCAGCAGAGGGGGCCCTGAGCGGGGGGCTCAGGGGGGCCTGTGCAGGGCAGGGGAAGGACTCTGGGTCTTATCCCCAAACTGCCGGAGGGTATGTTTCAAAATACATATTTTTTTTATTTTTACTATTTTTTAAATGTTTTTCTTAAATTTATTTTAGAGAGAGAGAGAGCATGCGTGCGCGTATGTGCAAGTGCGGGAGGGGCAGAGAGAGAGGGAGAGAATCCCAAGCAGGCTTCGCACTGTCAGCGCAGAGCCCAGCACAAGGCTCGGAATGAACAGTGAGATCATGACCTGAGTCCAAACCAAGAGTCAAGACGCCTCACCCACTGAGCCACCCAGGCTTCCCAGATATATATATTTTTAAATTGAAGTATAACAGACCGTAAAGTGCGCAACCATTTTACATACACACGCAATGTAAACACCACCCCTTGGAGGGTTTTAGGCAGGAGGGTGACCAGTGTGAATTTCATCTCAACCCAGTCCCACTGGGCCGCTGCACGGCGTGGACAGGTGGGGGCTCTGCAGCAGTGGAGGCCTGGCCGTGACCCTCTCTTCCAGCTCCAGCCCCAGATTCTACAACCAGGCTTTGCCCTCAGGTGCCTTTGGGTCCCTTAGACTCTTCTCCACGTTGTAGCCTGTCAGGGCTTCTGATGCTCGTAAGAACGAGCGAGATCATACAGAACTAAGAGAGTAAACCTGTCCAGGTACCTTCATTTCTGGAGCCTCAGCCGAGTACGGATGGGAGGCTGCGGACGCTACAAATGTCACTCGCCCCTCCTTCCCCCTGGGTTTTGGCGACCAGGATGTAGGATGATGTATGCTTGGAGGGACCCCCCTGAACGCTGCAGGCTTTGGCAGAGCTCAGTGTGAAGGAAGGGTGGCCGCTCGCTGTATGGGCAGATAACGGCCCTGCGTGCCAGTCGTCCTGTCCTCCAGGCTGGCGGCCTCTGGAAAGCCTTGCCCATTGAACCCTTTAAAAAAAAAACACACAAAAAAACCGAGATAATTTGCCAAGACTCCAGGGACTTTAAGATTCAGCTGTTTCGAGGGAGCTGATTGGTTTTGAGCTCCGCATCATTTATGATGTGCATTCAGCCTCAAATAAAATGGCAAACAAAAGCCAGAGTGGTATTAGAGTTTTCTTTGCCTTTTTTTCCCCCTTAAACATTTGCTTGAGTCTTTGGCATGTAAATTCTCTGTCAGGTTGATTGTTCTTTGCCCTTTTGGTAGGATTAGAGCTCAAGGGGCTGGTGCTCATTTAATGAGTCATTACTTCCTTACTTCCGGGGCAAAGACTGGATGCCGAGTTTGGTTTTGAAAATCACCTGCTTGATTGCATGAGTCTCTTCCTTGGCCTAATAATAAAATAATAATTGGTAGCAGTGAAAGGAGTTTGAATATCTCTAATTAGTTGGTGGCCCTCACAAAGGTATCTAATAATATACCAAGTATCCATACAAGTATTTTAAAGAGATGGGTAATTTGTGATTCTTGTTAACAGTAGCGCTACCTTCAATTTTAAACTGTTCACAGATTTTTTTTTTTTTTTTGTCTCCACTCCCACACGACCATTAATTAGCCATTCCAGCCTGTGTGATTTGTGGACGGAGGTGAGAAACATAGGGATTCTGATTCCAAGGCCACTGCGGAACTTGAGAGATTCTGTCTCTCTTAACCTTTTAAAAATGCTTTATTGAAAAATGACACCATTTCTCACGTTCGGTTCATTTGTTTCTAAACCTGGAGTTCATTCCAGTGTTGTATTTAGGCCCCAAGAGGAAAGCTTCCAGATGTTTTCATTCTAAGCATTATGTTGATGAGGTTAAAATTGAGAAATGAAATGAAGACTTGATCTGAGAGCAACTTTTTACATTGTGTATAAGCTCTGAGGCTGGCCACCCGGTACCTTTTTACTCCAGACAGGGTGGAGATCACTCTAAGTGAATCCAGTTAAGTGCAGAGTAACGGGGAACGGACCGTGGCCCGGACACAGGGACTCTTGCTTGATTGCTGTTCTGTTTGACTTTTATTCTTGCCACAAATGACAGTGGGAAGTCACACACAGGCTTGTGGCCTTCGGCGAGCTGGGCCCTGGTCTTGCCTTCTTGCTAGTGCTGAATGCACCTTCAGATTTAGCTAGGGGTGCACGCCAAAAATGAGCACAGTGTCCCAAATCTTAAGCTTTGTCTTTTACTTATTTATTTTTTTTGAAAGAGCGAGTGGTGGGGGGGTGCGGAGGGGGGCAGAGAGAGAGACATACACAGAATCGGAAGCAGGCTCTATGCCAACATACTGACAGCAGAGAGCCTGATGTGCGGCTCGAGCTCACGAACCGTGAGATCATGACCTGAGCTGAAGTCAGACGCTCAACCGACTGAGCCACCAGATGCCCCAGGATGTGCCTTTTAATGTTCTGCCGCTCCTGTCTGGTTAAATACACAGGTTAGCATGCCCAGCGACCTATCCCTGCCTTCTTTTTAAGGAGTGGGAGAAAAAAAACTCCTTTATTTTTATTTTTATTTTATTTTAGCATTGAATTCTGTTGGGGGCGGGGGGACTTCTGTTTTTAGGAAGTGGAAGACGCCAGCAACATGTTGAATTGTTCTGACAATACCCCGCTGGCATCTTGCCTGGGTTAGCAGTGCTTTTGCAGAGCCGTATTGAGATCATTCCCGGGACAGTGTAAAAAGTTTGCAGGTGTGGACATTCTGTCTGACTTGCCTGGGCAATGCTTTACAATGCCATTGTGTTTCTTGATAAAAGGTAACCCCACCCTTCAATAAAGCAAAGATTGCTGTGAAACAGAGGAGGCTATTCATTACTTCAAAGTAAATCGAGCAATCCTTAGTCACAAATAACAATTAGGAAACAACGTAATTTGGATTTTATCTAGATTTTGTCTGCCCAAATGCACCTTATGGGGTGTGTGTACTTTTTTTTGGTAATTGCTTCCAAATTTGACTGACTTTATTTAAAAGTAAAGCTTGGTAGGAGAGCCTGGGTGGCTCAGTCAGTTAAGCATCTGACTTCAGCTCAGATCATGATCCCACGGTCTGTGGATTCAAGCCCTGCGTTGCGCTCTGTGCTGACAGAACCTGGAGCCTGCTTCAGATTCTGTGTCTCCCTCTCTCTCTGCCACTTACGCTCTACCTCTCTCTCTCAAAAATGAATAAACATTTAAAAAAAAATTTTGTTAAGTAAAGCTTGGTAGCTTTTTTGGACAAGCTCAGAAACTCAAGTATCACCAGGATGAACTTGCAGTTGCAAGAGAATGGATTCACCGTGTACCACCTGTGGGTCCCCACGGGGACCTCAGGGTTAGGAGTCAAGGTTGGCAGCCTCTGGCACCAGAATTCATAATGCTGTGAGGTTGGCCAAAGGTGGTGCAAGGCAGTAGAACTGGTCTTCATCTTTTCCCAGCCCCTTTGTTCACTTTTCTTTTTTGCTGTTTTTACTGGTACTTAAGATGTAAAAAACTTCATCTACAAGAAAAGTGATAGCTTGAGGTGGACCTTTATTTTTTTTTCATATTTTTTAAAAAGTTTATTCATTTAGAGAGAGAGTGCAAGAGTAGACGGGGCAGAGAGAGAGAGAATCCTAAGCAGGGTCTGAGCTGTCAGTGCAGAGCCTGACGTGGGGCTCGAACTCATGAACTGTGAGATCATGAGCTGAGCCGAGATCAAAAGTTGGATGCTTAACTGACAGAGCCTCTCAGGTGCCCCTTGAGGTAGATCTTTAGATGGAAGGCACCCCCTGGTAAGGGGGAGGGCGTGAAGGTCTTCCGTGCTCCTTCTCGGAGGAGGGGGGAGCTGTGTGCTATGCTTTCTGCCTTTCCCCACGAAGGCTGAGCTGTTCACCCCTCAGGAGACAAGGCTTCCGGTTCTGTTAGCGCTCCCGGAAAACGCAGAGCAATAGGAAACTCCACGTGAGATGTGCCTCTTATTTTCCTCCCTGGACCCGACCTAGAAAAGCATGGTGGCAGAGGTGGGACTGCACGGGACGCCCTCTGTCGCCACGCGTGTGCAGAGCTCTGGCAGTAGTTTGAGCTATGTCTTTTCAACCTTAAGAAGTTTTTATTTGCCCAAGAAACCTGCCATCCTTTTATGAGGCTAAATATTTCTCACCCTCCCCTATTCCTCGCCACTCACACCTCATTTATAATGAACCATCAGCTC